GATTATTAATGTTTATTGATAATTAAAAGAGGAGTTAAAAATTTTACTTAATAGTATTAACTATAGATTTGTATTAAGATTGAGATTAGGAATTATGTTATATTTTTAATTCTATTATTAGAATTATTTTATTAGTTTCAAAAATTGAAACTAATATTTATAAATAATATGTTATTTGTAGATTGTATTACTGGTGAAGATTGTGGTGAGAGAGAAATTTTAAGGAATAATTTATTGAAAAAGCCACAAGGTAACCATGCTTTTAATTTATGATTAGTGTTACTTCATGTTAATTGGGTGATTATTGAGAAAATTATAAATTTTGTAATATTATATAATTGTGCAATATTATTATGAATTTGTTTGATTATTGTGGGAGGTGTTGGGAGACTTGCTATTGTTGTTGTATTTATGTGCCACGTGGTACGCCCCTATTGGAGCTCAATAGGTGGTTTGTAAGGGCTCGGGCTAATCTACCTTTGGCCGGGTAATTTAGCACCGAGTGAGGGCTACGGCTCGAGGTTAATGGAGGGATATAAGGATGGTTGTTTGTGTGTATTGTAATATTTCTTATATTTGTTGGAATTATATTATTTTTAATTTTCACTTAGTAAGCACACACTTAACTGTTTGTATACACTATCATAAATTGGCTTTGGTTACTGGGACTTTTGAGTCTCATTATGTGGTTAACAATTTTCAGGAGAAGAGCCACGAGTGACACGTGGAGGAGTCCCAGAGGCTTAGTGGTATAGATCCACTGTCTCTTTTGGGTATTTAATTTATGATTTATAATGTGTTATATTGCCAATATTAGGGCTTTTTGTTTATTGTCAATTATATGAATATATAAATGTAATCATGTCTTTCAAACTATTTCTATTTTTGGTACAATTTGGATGACTGTAATTTTAATATTTGGTTTACTTTGGATTGGTTAAAATGGCATGATTATAAGGCCAAATAACTGGCTTGTGTTGAAAATTGACTAAATTGCTTATTTTACTTGTTGGGAGTATAAGGATGGACAAATGTGATTTAGTTTACTTGTTGGGAGTATAAGGATGGACAAATGTGATTTAGCCTAATGGCATGTGGGAGGTAAAAATTTATCTGAAATGTTATAGTGTGTGAGTTGAAGCCAATTATAAAATATTTTATATCGAAATTATTGATATAAAAATGTGTTGGGTGGCTGTAACCCAACTATGGTTGAGTTAAATTATTTAAAAAAAAATTTGGTGTGTTACACCCCACGCACTACGGCATGTGTTATAGAGAAGACAACTCTAGCCTGACGGCCCTATACGCCATGATGTATCGCGACATATGGCATAGAAGTTTTTTTAGCTTATTTTTCTCCACTTTTTGGTCCCTAAATGACTAAATTTGACTTTAGACCTAAATTATACCTGAAATTCTAATTAAAAATACTTATTATTCTCACCTAATCATATACCACTTCAACTTACTTAATTATCTTAATTAAGCTTAATAAATCATGAAATTAAAAACCGAGATGTTACGTCACCAGTGCCTCCACTTAATAGACACTCACATAGAGAATTAGCTTTATAAATCATGCCTGTAGAATCGAAAAGTGATTCATCAGCACAAGAGGTACAGATTCCTATTCTAGATGCTACTACTGAGATCATAACTGTGTTGACTGCTTCTTTGACAACTAATAAAGGTCTTAGAAGATTGATCATGTCCCTAGTTTTGACTTTATCGTCTGAGAATGATAAGGAAGATCAAAATGTCTCATTGGTATTATCACTTGCATCTCAGAGAGACATGACAAGCTTAGGAGTGTCCATAGCCACACCCCAGACATCAGAGCGGTTGTAGTTTTCTAAATCATCACAGTGGAATGAAAGTTCACCTACAACATCTTAAAGGATAGAAAATATCTCATCCACTTTTGAAAGGAGTCATGTGCCTTTATCTCAAAGGAATGATCATATATCCTCAACATCTCATATAACTGATACCACCATAGCTTTAGAATTAAAGAAGCCATACGTGTCTTTGTCCTATAAAGTTGATAGCATCAGTCCATCCCACAAGATTGATGCTACTATGCCTTTTACTTCTAGAAGTGTTGTGTTTGTCCTAGTAGCATCTTGTTTACATGAGAACCTTGGTCAAACATTTGAAGGACCTGAACCCACTTTCTTACTTTGAGAGGATATGATTGTATGCCTGCAGCATCTCAAAGGGACAACCTTATAAGCACAATATCTCACAGGACTAATATTGGCTTAGGTCCAACTTCAGAGAGGATATACCTCTCTACAACATCTCACAAAACTGAAAGAATTAGAGCGCCTTCCCAGCTTGGAGATGCTTTGCCTCCAATGGTATAGAATATGCCTGCAAGTTCAGAGAGGTTATATATACCTGCTACGTTTCAAAGTATGTATAATCGAGACTCAATAATTTCAATAGATGAATTTTCCAGCCAATCTGTGGCCATGACTTTGCCAACATCTTAAGGGATATAAATTATGATACATAGCTTAATGTTTCTCTCTCATCCCTCTTCCAAATTAATATAATTAGGTATTGGTTTTCATCGGTCAATTTTCGCCCTTATCTTATTCAAGCATCTAGGAAGATCACGAAAGAATCAAAAATAAAAAGAATACTTGCTGCTTAAATAAATGCTCATGTTAAATATTATATATTATATGATAATCACCAATATCAAAATAAAAGTTAGAGATACAAGTTATTTGAGCAAGGCTTAAATAATGTTATCCCTGATAATATAATTGTCTCGGCAAAATTTTGAGCCCATCAAGAATACCACTCAATTCAACAGCTATGTAACTACTAAATTCAAGAGTTGTCATGGAACCTCTCACACAGGTGCCCATTTAAGCCTTATATTTAGTATTGGCAACAGGCAATGTTGTCTTTAAGATTAACAAAGCTGTCAACTTCTAATCTTGAATCAGTCATCCACAAGTAATCTTGTATTTAGGGAGAGACTAATTGTCTTTGAAATTGAGAACCCTTCCCCAACTTTCCTTTGGTTCTTAAGAGTAGTCTACCTCAATGTCTTCCTCCTCCTGTTAGAAATATTTTGAACTATGTGGCTTTATATTATAATAAGAAAATTATGAACAAGAAAATATATGAATATTTCCAAATAATGTTATGTAACATTTATAATTATCTAAAATATAAATATAATGGTTATCTTAACATCAGTTCGTTTACATATTTCATAGATATACCAAATTAAAGTTAACCACAAATAAGTTGATTCTCTTCGTACCCTCAAATGCATGAAAAATCCATAGTGTGAGCTAAATTGAGAATTAGGATTAAGGAAGAATGACCCTTTTTCTTTCTTAAAAAGAAAAAAACCATGGAAGTTTAATGGCCACGTCTTCAGCTTCAAGCATGGCCGGATCTTCTACTTCAATAAGTATGTTTCACACCTCCAGCAATAAAATCATATCAGCGACATTGAAGTGGGTGAAAAAAGAAGGGGATAAATGGAATTACATTGTAAAGTTTTGAATGAATAGTTTAATTTCGGCAAAAAAAAAAAAAAGGGAACGAAGAGTTCAATAATGTTTGCAATGAATATAAAAAATATATATATTGATTTAGCAATACAAGAGTTTTAAGTATACATTTGCGTTAAATACTCATTGAGAGAAATTTGCCGTTAATGTAGTCCTAATTCACTTGGCTCATAAATAATGGATAATGGCATAAAAAAGGAGTAATTTTAAAAATTTAATTTACAAATATACAATAAAACAAAATGTATTGAATTTTTTATTTCTTTACATCAATTTAAATAATAAAACAATGGGAGAATGGAAAAAAAAAAATGCTACCAAAAGATGAAAATGATAATTTGGTACTGCAAAATATGATAATTATTTTATAGTCTTAGAAAACTTATCTAGCAATTTTTTTTTGTGCAAATGACATATTAGTCCCTTTTTAAAAAACCAAAAATGAGTTACCACTTTCTTTGGGAAAGGACTGGTTTTTTTTGTGTGGAAAATTACTAAAACAAAATAACAAATTATAAATTGCTCTATGTAAATTTTTTATGTAAAGTCTAACAATTAAAAATTAGTTATCAATTTTTCTTGAAATATGATATATTATTTTCTTGGAGAAATGATTAAAATGAAATAATAAATTACAAATTTCTATGCGCAAATTTTTATTAGTGAAATCCAACATATTTTACTATTTTCTTTTGTGAAATGACTAATTTTATTGTTGAAAAATGATTAAAATGAAACAAAATTATAAGTTGTTTTGTGAAAATTTTTTAAACAAAATATAGCAGTTAAAAAATCAATTATTATTTTCTTTTGGAAAATGACTAGATTTCTTAAGAAAAATGATTGGAAAGGAATAACAAATTATAAATTGGTCTGTACAATTTTTTATTAATAAAATCTAACAACTAAAAATCAATTATTACTTTATTTTAAAAAATAATTAGTTTTCTTGAAGAAATGACTAGATTGAAATAAAAATATAAATTAATCTGTTCAAATTTTTTTCAAAAGGGTAGAAAAGTCTTTTTATATTAAAATTAATTGACACAAGTCTCTACAAACTAAAAAATAATTATTATATTTCATGATACGTAATTGTTATTTGCATATTTGAGAGCATTTTTCTGTTACTCTCCCTTAACCCAATTTTTGATTATACTGTGAGTCCATTTTTAATAGAGTTTAAAGTATTATTTTCCATGAGTTATAAATAATACATATTTTGATTTGTTAATACATACGGATGATAATATTATGGTGATATATTAATGTTGATTTTTCCTAACATAGGAGACTCAAAATTAAATTAAAAATTAGAAAAAATGAAACCTTTCATCCTTTAAATTTAACTTACTTGAATTTTCAATCATCAAATTTTCAAATCTTCATTACTATGACTATAGTATAAAGTATCCTTAAAAACCAAAATTGTCCCAGCTAAAAATGTGTCTAATTTATTGTCTGAGACCTTGCTGCGGGCCGATTGCATCGCGCAGCGAAGGCAGGAACAAAAATGCTATGCATTTATCCTCAGAGGGTTTCCAGTTTCTGCCCTCCAACGTTCCAAAAACCTTCTTTTCAATCGAGGTTTTCAGTTGCTCCACCACAGACGCGCAATGAAGGAAGTTCCGATTACAACGACGTCGCCTATGATGACAATTTTGGTTCGGAAGATGACATTCTTCACGCAATTTCTGATGCAAAATCGAAATTTATTACCAGTGCTAAAAACCCATTTGTAAAGCACTGCCTCAAGCTCCGCAACGACTCTTCTTATCGCCGTTATCATGGTTCAGTTCTTGTTGTGGGTTCTACACCTATAAGGTTGGTCGCTATGCTAACGCAGTCTATTTCTAAGTACTTACGCTAGTTGACAAGAATGCAAGGTGGCGAACTTGCTGTTATCCATTTTTCTCGTTTTTTCTTTTGTTTCTTAATGTAACGAATTGGATTCTTTTCAAGGCTTGTATGCTGGAATTCAATTCTCTTGAAATAATGGGCTGTTTCTTTTTATTGGACTTTCTGATAAAGAGGCAGTCTGTCGGAAATTTTATTTGTTTATCTCCTTCGGAACTTTTTCCGGTGATGCGGCAACAATTTATGTTTCCTCAATTAAAATGCTCTTTTGAGTTTCACGACCTTCAAATTTCCGGCCTCAGAAAGTGTTTTGTAGACACACACACACACACATTATGATTATGATGGGTATCCGTTAGCTAGGAACCTCGTGCGGCTGACTTTTGGAGCATACTATAACAGATAACATTGTCAATTGATTATTAGTTATTTAGCTTGATCTGTTTATTGTGATACAAATTCACTCTTAGTCCTAATCTTTAATGGGTATGAAGCATTGTGGTATTTAATTATTCTCCTACGGTGGATGGATGAACATTATATATATATATATATATATATATATCTGTGGCTCTTGGAAAGAACCTATTGCTTTGATTTCTCACATGTATTCGTTTTTTCTGACATCACTATGTATCCTTTTCTTGCTACAGTCAAAGACTTTTTAAGAGTTACAGAACTATGGCGGCAAAGTATCATGTAGGGTGTCATAAGTGAGCTCAAATAGCTCTAAATCTATAAGATGTTTGCTTCAGATTTGAGCCTTCATTAATCTTCTTGAAAAGGATAAGCAATGTAAATGCATATAGAAAATTGCATTTTATAGAGTCACTGGAAAACAAAGAAAATATCTATATCCATTGCAAAGAGTGACAGTGACCATTTGCTGCATACAAATTCAATTCAATCCCTCAGTTGGGAGGAAATTTAATTTTCTCAAATCTAATCAAAGAAGATCCTGAAATTATTTGTTTGAGTACCCTTGCATAAATGTTCTTCACATTGTGAAATCTGTCTATCACATATGCTGTTATAGATAGAATTATTTCAAAGATTGAATTTATGAGAATTGAGAAGACTCTCTGGATGAGAATAAAATTGTTATTTGCAGAGAAATATACAGGTTTCAAGAGTCATCGCAAGATAAAAATATTAAGATGGATAGTTTGATTCTGCCTGATAAAGCTGAGATTCCTGAAGGGCTTGATAAATGCCCAGCTTTGATTGTCCGTGTGAGTTCTACAGTGATGAAAAAGATTGCACGGCTGCAGTCAACTGATAGTCTTGATGCAATTGCCCTGATGAATATCCCTACCAGTTTCGTCAGTTTAGATGACAATCAAGAGACAGCAGATTGTCAGAGGTGGTTTCCATTTCCTCATAGGATTTTAGTCCTTGAAAGGATTCAGGTGAAAATTACTGTCCCTGTTAAATTTAACCATTTGGTCTTGGTGGGTTTGTTTCTTCCTGATTTTGGGAGCATGCAGTTCGTCATGCTTCTGTTAGTGTTTTCTTCCCCTTGTGATTATTATTAGTGCTTCTTCTAGAAAGCTACTTGATTAATGTAGGCGCCTTTTAGAGACAATATTAAGGAAGCTGCATAGGATCGACCTTAAATACTGAGTTATTCTACAATGTCTAATTTGTAGTCAAGTCCATATTCTCATGTAGTCTTGCTTGAGAGATGAATGGAAAGTTCCTATTTCCTAAGTTCAAATTTCATTAGCAAAAGGAGAATTTATATTTTCCTCATTATATTTCGGATATATAGGTTGATGAAAAGCTGAAATAAATTATGATTTACTATAGTTGCCACTTGCCAAAAGGGGCTTGGGGTGGACTAATTTTTGGCAGTTTCATCTGCTTACCCTTTTGTCATTCTTGCAATTTGCAACCACTTTAACATGTCAATGTTGCAACTTAAATGAAATATGCATTCCTCTTAATAGAGTTGTTCCCTGCAGGATCCTGGTAACCTAGGTACATTACTCAGATCAGCTGTGGCCTTTGGTTGGGTAAGGACTGCATTGTAAACCTCAAATCATTCTCCTCTTCCACCCACCCAGGTCCTTTTTCTTTTTTAATAAAACTTGTAATTTCTCAGTGCTTGCTGTTTCAACCCTGTCATCTTGGATGGTCTCTGATTCATATAATCGCCAGCTTAAGTGTATAGGAACTCATTTTTGATAGACTGGATACAAGTTACATCAACTCTTGTTGTTAGTGAAGAATCAACTGATTTTAATTTGTTTTTGGTAGGCTTGCTTCCATAGTTTCACTTTTCAAACAAACCTGCGCTTATTACCTAGAAATTAGAATAAAAAATGACTTGAATATGTGAAACTTTAATCAACAATAAGACAAGTATTTTTATTCTGCATCAAGCTCTAGAATGTTGCTCTCATTCTTCATCATAATTAGGTGATCTACTGATCCATTGGCATTAACAGTCTAGGGAATTCATTATAATACTATCCAACTCCCAGTTTAGTCCTCAGTTAAGACTTCTTTCTCTAGCATGTATTCCTGTTTCATAACTCATCCGTCTAAAAAAAATTGTTTTCTAGCATCGTCTAAAAATGTTGTTTTCTAGTATAATTTTTAATACATCTTAGAAGGCTTGAATTACATGGTTATTGCTCAACAGGATGGAGTTTTTCTTCTTCCCGGCTGTTGTGATCCATTCAATGATAAAGCTCTTCGAGCTAGCCGAGGTGCGTCCTTTCAGTTACCCATAGTTTCTGGCAGTTGGGTTCATCTGGAGTCTCTTACAGAACAATTGCAAATGAAATTGCTGGGTGGCCATCCAGATCATGAAGGGGCAGCAAAGCCAGTTAGTCGAATTTCTCCGAGCTTCTGTGATTCTATATCTGATAAGCCTCTATGCTTGGTATTGGGCAGTGAAGGAAGTGGTCTCTCAGAGAAATCCATGCAAGTATGTGAGCTCGTGAGCATTCCAATGGCTGGAGAATTTGAGTCCCTCAATGTTTCAGTTGCTGGTGGGATTTTCCTGTATATGCTACAGCCAAAGTGTAGATGATCATTCATGTTCTCTGTATTAATTTCTCACTTTTTGGTTCATGATTTAACTTGGTCTCAGGATAGTATGTAAAGTAAATGTCCATTTTCTTTCTTGCTCTCATCCAAGGGGAAATTTTGTACAGCAAAGTTAAATTCCCCTCGCTACTTGACTATTTTTTCCCTTTCTTTGATTTCCTTAGGGGACATCCCCCCCCCCCCTCTTTTTTCTTTTTTTCTCTTTCACTAAAGTTTATGCAAGTTGAATTTTAGAGTCTTATCAAGATCTAGGCAGGCATAGCAACCTCATTCATATTTTTCTTGATATCATATTAAAAATTAGTGTATTTTGGTCTTTCTTAATGTAATTCATAATATTTTTTTTAAATGCTCTTAATTAAGAGGATAATTGGTTGGTAAAAAAAATGAAGAGGATAATTTATATTATTTCTAAATTGAGGCATCCTATCAAATAAAAATAAATATGAAAGTAGTTTATAATTTTAAATGTTATTAACTAACTTATTAAAAATGTAAATTAATTAAAATTATTTTATAATTTAATTGAGATGGTGTCACTATTAGTTTGTTGGAATTAAAGAAAACTTAAAAATTATTAATTTTATATTTTTAATTTTATTTTTATTAAATATATATATTTTAATCATGTGTTTTTTTCTATCAACATTAATAAAATAAAAAAATTTGAGAAAAATTTGATGACATAATTTGTAAATATTAAAAAAATAAATTATATCATCTCCCTCTCCTCCTTTTCAATAAAATCAAATGAGAACATAAAAATATTACCATCCCTTCCTTTTCCCTCCATCCTCTTCCTTTCTCTTCCCCTCCTTTGAATCAAAAGATAAAGAGGACCATGTATTAACCAACAACAAAATTGGGAAATCAAAACAAACGAATGTTTAAAATAAGGTTACGCGAACGCGGCAATGTCAGAAGTGGAGATCGGCACAATTAAAGAAGCTTGAAGCTTAGATAGAGCCAATCCCCATCTTCTCAACTTTCTCACTCCATCTGAGATACAGGACTCCGATTCTCTCCACCACCTCCACAATCAACAGCGACATTCACTATCCACATCCCATGTTGATGACGTTCGGCAAGCAAACTCAACAGCAATCCTCACCTTCGAGTCTCTTCTCTATCCGTGGCTCCCTCCTTCTCCTCGCAATTCTAACCTTACTCTCTTTCACCTATCTTGCCATCAAATACTCCGCCCCTGCACCTCAGGTATGTTTTCCCTCTTCCCCCTTTCTGTTTCGTTCTTCTTTGATGTAACATTTGTTTATTGATTTTCTTTTTGTTCTATCTTGGAGGTTTCTGTCGCTAAATTGGTCGATGCTGAAGTGGAAAATGCGGTGCCGGAGGGGGAGAAGGACGGGGAATTTTCTGATATATATCACTCACCGCATGTGTTCAAGTTAAATTACGCGGAAATGGAGAAGAAATTCAAGGTTTATATATACCCTGACGGTGATCCCAACACGTTTTATCAGACACCCAGGAAACTTACTGGCAAGTATTCGAGCGAAGGATATTTTTTTCAGAATATACGAGAGAGTCGATTCCGTACTGATGATCCGGATCAGGCCCATCTCTTTTTCATTCCGATCTCATGCCACAAGATGCGAGGCAAGGTATGAGTTGCAGGTTATTAAATTTAATGATTCTGTCTACGGTGGTTATGTTTATATGTGGTATTCTTCTATATCAGAACTATTGTAGCATTGCATTTGCAAAATTGTGATTCTTTCCTGTATCCCAGATGAGACATGCTCTAGGCATGCGCTGTGGAGCTTAGGAAATATCTAACTTTGGGTTTTGCCTTAGAGATCTGATATGGAAGTAGTAAGGGTTCAATGAGGTTAATTGTGAAAGAGGTTGATACTAACCAGTTCATTTGCATTTGCAAGATTGATCTTTGTTTTACTCCATGCACTGAGCTTGCGGTTCATGGGTTAGAAAATGTCTACCATCGAGTTTTGCTGTTGAGATGTGTGAAGATAGTAGCATTAAGTTAGATTTAATGTAAAAAAAAGGTTAATAATGACAGAAATGCATTTTTAGATATGACTCTAACTTGGATATGAATTTTTATAGATATGACTATGACTATGTAACCTTTCACGCAAAGGAAAAAAAAAAAAAAAAGACATAACTATAACTTTGGCCACAATCTACAGGCAGTATCCCATCTAATGAAACGGTAGACTTTGCTTTCTGATATCCCTTATTAGTAATTCTTCTTTAGGAATACCAAACATAAACATGTCTGTGTTAGGAAGAATATCATGTAGTTTGAGATGTGAATGGTTTGGCATAAAGATGGGAAGAGGGGTGAAATATGTGAATCCATCATGCATTCACACACAGTTTACCTCCTCAAATAAAATAAGACATTCCCTTTCTTTTTTTACTTCCCTTGAAGGACACTAAGTGTGCTCTTAAAAAGCATGATTAAATTGTCATAGACTATGAAGAAAATTAGTACTTCTTTTAGTACTAGCTATTAATCTTTTCCTGTGTGCATACAATCTCTTATTATGTGCACTAAATGTAGTTTGTGCTAGTCATATTTATTTATTTTTTTCTTGGGCCCTTGGTTATTTATGAGTATTGTCTCATTTCCTGGCTATACTTGCAATTGCATACTTTATTTCATGTACCCTTCCTTTCTGGGCCTTTTTTTTTCTTTATTATTATATCAGATCATCGCAAGTTGATGAAATGTTCATATATATTCTTAACAAATTGATATGATCTCTTTGCTAAATAAGGGAATAAAAAAGTGCATAACAAAAAATACATACAGTACATTTCAAGTCTGGTTGGAGAAGTGCGTCCTTGTTCATGGAGTGTGTTCTTGTCATGCAGGGTACATCTTATGAGAACATGACCATAATTGTGCAAAATTATGTGGAGGGCTTAATGTCCAAATATCCTTATTGGAACAGAACCTTGGGTGCGGATCACTTTTTTGTCACCTGTCATGATGTTGGTGTAAGGGCAACAGAAGGACTTCCACTTCTTGTAAAGAATTCCATACGAGCTGTATGCTCTCCTAGCTATGATGTTGGATTTATCCCACACAAAGATGTTGCCCTGCCTCAAGTACTACAGCCATTTGCTCTTCCAGCTGGAGGCAATGATATAGAAAATAGGTAACATTTTTAGTATGTATATTTTTATTCTCAATAATGTTAATTCCAAGTTTGAGAACATATATTCAATTTGAGGACATATATTTTTAGGGATTCATTACTTTGTTGTACAGGTGACTTTTGCTCCTGCTATCATTTGTTAATCTTGTTCTCATTCTTGTTATTCTTTGAGAATGATGTTACATAATTATTCACACAATTTATAGATGCCCATGTCTTAAACTTGGTCACTTGGCCCTGTTTGTCCAGTTTCTAAATCCACAGTTGGATGTCAGAGACACATCTTCCTTTCAATCTGGTTTAACAATATCTACTCATTTCTTCTTTAGAACACATATTGATATGATGTATAAAGTGAAATGATAGTTATTGGGCTAAGCCCAAGCCAATAGTTGTGTGATAGTTTGTGAACTAGTTTAGTCTACACTGAACTTAGTTTAGAAATCACTGCTTATATAATGAGCCTGTGATTAATGGGCCAATCTAAGTCACATGAAGTATCTGAGGTGTATATGAGAGTGGGAGTAGGCTAGATGTGGGGAATAGACAAGGGATAGTGTGTTAAGTAAATAGCTAAGAGCCAGTTGTTAGTGACTGTTAGTCATATGAACCTATAAACACTAGACGTAAGACTATTGTAAAGTTATTGATGACCCTTAATGACAGATTGCGCTACTCTGTGGTGGTGAGAGAGAGAGAGAGAGAGAGAGAGAGAGAGAGTGTGTGTGTGTCTATCTTCCTCTGTTCCTCTCCAATCTCTCTTTTCTCCTCCTCTCTTTCTTTCTTCCTTCGTTCCTACAACAGTCATCTACCATGGTTTGAAGGAAGACTCAAGAAACCAGTGAGTGGATGTGTGGGAGAGCCTAGTGCTCTTGAATTGCTAGGAACCAGCATGTTTGTGTTTTCTGTCATTTTCCCCAGCTTTTTGATTTAATTCTCTCGCAACTGCACATCAAATCCCTTTTCTTGACCTGTTCATTATCAAATGTTAAATATGAGTCTGGTAATTTGTTTGGCACTGTGATGGTGAAGGACGCTGACTCCTGCCAATCATCAATATGAAACCACTTCATAGGTTCTGGAAATTCAGTGGTCCCTAACTTTTTCATCTCTTCAGTTTTGTTCTCACAAATGACAGGAATACTAAATCTGATAACATTACCTTTTTGTGAATTTCTCTTCTGGATCTCCAACCTCCAGATGCTGCAGCTCTTCCTCAGCATCCTCCTGACTTCCCCCATCATTGTCTTTGTTGAGATCCCATCTGAAATTGGCCTCACTAGTTTCTTCTACTTCACCTTTTATCTCCTCTTTCACTTTCACATCCATTCCAATATTTTCTTCCTCAAATTGCACCTCTACTTCAGCCTTTTCTTCCTCTTTTATTTCTTGTAAAGTTTCTTTCATAGCTTGTGTTGCTTCTATCATATTAGCTTACACGCCTCATCCACTTTTCCAGCTTTATCTTCGCTCTCCACTCTGCAATTCTTTTAAGCTTCTCACTGGAAACTCCCATGTTTTGTGCTGCTCTAATGTTAAGCTGATGGAACTCAAACCTTGAGATCATATTAAGATTGGTAATAATCTAGAGGAGTGTAAGTATAACCAGATATCTAAGTAGAAAATAAGAGAAAATGATGGAAAGCACGCAAACACACTAGTTCCATTTCAAGAGTGCTAGGCTCTCCCGCACATTCACTGTCTGATTTCTTGAACCCACCTCTTTATATGTAGTCCCCTCCCATATCCTACTCTCTTGCTCACACACACCTCATATACTTCATGTAATTCAGCTTGGTCCATTACTAACATGCCCATTAACAATCTTTTGTGAGTTCTGGTCATCTGGTATCCTATTAAAGAACTTGAACTCTGATTCATACTATTCTTTGCAATTCCAACATCCCAATTTATCATATCACATGCTGCATGTAAACAATGTTAATCTCAGTTAAATTTCTGGTTGGACAT